GAGGGCGTTCTCTATGTACTTGAATCTTCGGCTCGCATTAGTATTAAAGTCTGGAACTTGCCCTCTTGCAGGCTTGAAATACTCAATACTCCTCAAGTAAGGAGCTTATTAATACTTTTAAGCTAGGTGGATATAATCGTGCGTTAATATTTCACATTTTCAAATTTCTTCCACAAATTCTAATTACATGCTACCTCATTTTCAGCATATGCCCCTCTAACACGCTACTTCCTACTTATTCATTCTAAACGCCTCCCAACACTACAATTCTACTCTTTTCAACGCATTCCTAAACCTACATCGTGCGTAATTTCATCACGTTTTCTTGCACTTCTTGCAGTTAGGCAATTTGTCTACCCCCGCAGTTCGTGCAAATTTGGCGATCGTATGGGAGTACAATTCTACCAACCTTCAACTATTATTCCTCACTGTGGAGTCCACGCTTTACTTTCATAACAAACCAGGTGCAAACACCAAGCAGGAAATGTACTATAACCCCCCTCCGTAGTAGCTACAGCTTCCCCGGAGCGAAGCGACGCGGGCTGCTAGTGATTCTTGAAGGAGGAAGCTTCCTTACCACTCAGGAGACCAAGGGGGAAGAAGATTTTTTGGAATAAGGATCTTGAAGCCCTTACGTAAGCCCCTCAAGCGAGGAGGTTAAGTAGCTGCTCCTCGTAACATTTAGGAGCCGCTTCTCGAGGTTTTCACGTAAGGTGGAAAGGAGAGAGAGGTTGATCGCCGTTAAGCTAAGATCCAACCCACAAACAATTCGGACCAGAGAAATGATCATCCCAGAGATTGACCTGGCGCCTTATCGAATTGTCAGCGTGAGGTTTTAAGCACCTCACCAATTCACCAGCTTCTGCGAACTTTTCACGACGCATGCTCGAGAATCGTGATGGAATCCATAGTCCATCAGATGGATTAGGCTCTATTCGGTGAGTGATCAACTCTACAATTGGGAACTTTATACTTTAGGCATTACCCACGATGGGTTATTGGGCCTATAACTTAGGAACTGCTCCTTAGGGCGTACCTTAAAAGTAGGAATTCCTTACGCTCCATCCTCAAGGAAGCCTTCCTTAGTTATAAGGCTATTGTTTCGTAGAGTCAAAAATGTTGACGAGTTCGGAACGCTCTTTCGCGTAGACGACTGAGTGTTTCGTGCTGAGACTTTGCCAACGAATGCGAATTACTGAGACTGATAGCCGAGATTTGACGTGTTTTCGTGGCGCCCGAGGAGATTCATTCCGTGAAACGTTTACCCATGAATACAACAGGTCAGTCAGATATTTTCGAATATTTGGACAATGGTCCCTCAACATCAACTTGGTGTGGCATAGTTGCCCTACCGGGGGAGATTGATTGTACTGAGGCATGTCTTGGTGTGGCACAGTTGCTCCGGCCGGAGGAATTGTTTGTACCAAGGCATATATTGGCTTGGCATAATTGCCCTGGCCGGAGAAATTGATTGTACTGAGCCATATATTGGCGTGGCATAGTTGCCCCGGCCGGAGAAATTGATTGTATTGAGGCGTGTCTTGGGGTGGCATAGTTGCCCCGGCCGAAGAAATTGATTGTACTAAGGTAGATCTTTGCGTGTCATAATTGCCCCACCTGGAGGAATTGATTGCACTGAGGCATGTTGTGTGGTGGGCCACCACTGGTGGCATAGTTGCCCCCGCCGAAAAAATTGATTGTACCAGGGCATATCTCGGCGTGGCATAGCTGCCCCATCTGTAGGAATTGATTGTACTGAGGCGTATTTTGAAGTAGCATACTTACCCGGGGTGAGTTACCCCGGCTGGAGGAATTAACTGTACTAGGGCATATCTCGGGGTACTATACTCGCTCCGGCTGGAGAAATTGATTGTATTGAGGCAAATCTTGGGGTGACATTATGCCACCAATTTCAACCAATTTCCCTAGGGAAATTGGTTGCACTGAGCCACATCCTCGGGTGGCATAGCCGCCCCATGATCGTACTTCAAGAAATAAGCCTTGAATGTGTAGCTCATGTGTCCTGAACAGCAATGCTTCTATATTTATGTACTCATATTCAATGTGTTCTGCTTCCTTTGCTCTTCTTTTTTGGGTTCACAGTTGGTGGGAGGAGGTCCTGAGCGCGTAAGGTAGCAGCTTGATTTTATATGGTAATTGTTGGTTCATGCTGGGGACAACCAGAATCTACCCACCAACTATACCTGCATTCGACCTCTGGTTGGCCCTTTTCTGTGCTGTCACGGAGTGTTGCTCTTCTTTCTTGATATTCACCCCTGCTATAACTGAGACGTTCTCTCAGAGCTTTCTGGTACGATTGGGATGTCCATAATCCGCTTTCTCTGTCACATCGGTGGCATGTCATACCTAGCACGGATATAGTTTCATTTTTTGGGCGAAACATGAGATTATCTCGTATTATGGTAGGACGCTAGAAAAGCTCGAAGCCGTTGTATATGCTGTCATTCTGTTTCTGTATATGAAACTGGGCCATGGATTAGGTTAATGATTTCCTTCCTCAGATCCTGGGCTTAGTCATTGCTATTATTACAAGTCAACTCACTGTACCGTTGGCGTTCGAATGGACTCTGAAAACGGTCATTGCCTCGTGGTATGGTGCTGCTTTCGGATGTGTTATCGTAGCCTTCGTAACCGCTGTCAATCAAAACCATTACGATCCTTATATTGGTGTTGCTGTGTCGCTCCCATTGGCAATATTTGTATGTCTGGCCGAGCAAGCTGACGTAACTCACTGCAAGTTGAGTGCTATCTACAGAGGCGACAAAGCGCTCTTGCTCATAATGATCGTAGTTGTTTTCGGTGGAGACACACCCTATTGGGCCGCCTTGACCTCGTGCATCGCCTACACGGTAGGAACTACTATAACGCTATTGGGCACGCTCATTCTATGGTGCGTGAATCTTCTGCCAAGACCTGGCCCTCCTCCTATGGCTCTGCTTGGCCTACGCATGTCTGAGTACTTCGGAGAGATTTCTTCTGTCGCTCCCGCTGGAGAGATACAACAGGAAGAGCTCGACGAAAAGTGGAAGAGGCTCGACCGGGCCGCAGTCTTGGCGTCTGCAACGCCCGACTCCCATATGCGTGGCATTGTTCTCTCTATGGTTTCGTCTCTATCTACTCTGGCCCACGCTATCAAGCATGCCTCATTCAGCAAAGCAGCTGTGGAGCAGCTATGGGAGCCCGTCGACCACTCTCTTAATGTTATACGAGTTGAAGTCATCTACCGTTTGAGGCCCAGCCCAGACAATCGGATTGCTAAGCTGGACTTGTATGGCTTGGCAATATCACTGAGGAGAAAGAGTACCGAAGCCTTGGCTGGCTATGCCGCTGGGGTCGATTCGGGGAATATGAAACCCGTACCAGAGTCCGAGCTCGCACGGTTCGATTTTTGCACACGAGAGATCGCCAACTACGTGGAACTTGTGGCGGATTTCCTCTTCCGTGTAGACAACCCTCCCTCTTCTATGAAGACATCTTGGGCTCACTTCAAGTCTAGTGTCAAAAAATGGATCAAGGCACCGATGTTCAAGCGATTGAATCCTCCGACCCCCTGGCTTGTTCGACTGGCTTATCCGATTCGCTCTGGTGTGGGTGCTTGTGTCGCTGGTTGGATCATACTGGCGCTTGGAGAAACTTTGGAGCCTGTTAGGGCTTACGGGCTGTGGATGATGCTGCCCTGTGTATTCTGTTTCTTGCCAACCCCTGGTGCCTCGCTGGTGAAAGGCACACGAAGGATTCTGGGCACCGTCTGTGCTGGCGCTATTGCTATTGCTTGTGTTAGTATCCATCCTTATAATAACTCTGCTTTTTTCGTCGAGTTGTTCGTTGTGTCTTTCATTGGTAAGTTGCTAAAGTGCAGCCCTAAAATTGATTATGCTGGTCTAGTCTTTGCTTTTACTTGGGTTATCGTGGGCCTCGCTGCTGGGACCGATACCCATCTAGACAAGAACGATATGGTGCTCCGCTCTGTGTATCGAGCCATCTTGACTACATGTGGCGTTGTCCTGGCTACCCTCATTTCTACTTTAATGGTGCCAGAGTTCGCTTATGGTCGTTTGAGACGTGCTACTGCCCGAGCTATTGAGAAGCAGGGCGAAATGGTTGCGGATGCTGTGAAGTTGATGCAAGACGCAGAGCCTGCGGCGACAGTACATAACACGTTCGATGAGAGGGTTATTTCGGCTGGTGATGAGCTGCTAGAGCTCAGGAGCGAGCGATGGTGTCAGGTCGTCGACGCCACAGTCGAAACGAAGCTGTTTTCCTGTCTGAGGGGACTGCTCAGAAGTGATGAGCGTCGTGTGAATGCCGCACATATTATTGCATGCCAGCCCCTTTTGGACCGCTTGAACCGGCGTACGATGGTTGTTGTGACTGCGGCAGGGTCGTTCCACCCACGTCCTGGTAAAGGCTCCGATGAAATCGAGGAGGTTTTAGCCGCCCTCACGCCTTTCATATCGGACATGGCGGCTGCCGGCGCGGAACTCGCTGATGTTACGAACAATCACGGAAGCCATCTCGGGTTGTGGGACTCGCGTTCGAGGAAATTCGATGAGGCTCTGAGAGTTCTGACAAAGGTTGAGCGTAAGATGCGAACAGCTATTCCAGTATCTTGGAGACGACGGGCGACGGAAGACTTGGATGAGGCGAAGGAGGAGGAATTCAGTGATGTGTATGCTATCTTGCGAGCCTTATCTCTGTTTATGGAAACTTGGCGAGATGTAGAGCATATGATGTATTTCGGCTACGTGAAGGAAGCTGTCAATCCATTCGAGGTTGGATCCCTGGGCAGAAGTCGTGAGATGATTAGAATTCCCACAAGGGCTGTGGCACGTCTCCGTGAGTACTCTACTGCCAGCGATGTTGAGTCGACCCACGATGCTGCCACTGTGGATGGAACACCCGTGCGGGATGTGCGGCATTCTTAATATTTCCTCTATGAACAATCGCATTCTATCATACTGCTATTACGTACCCGTTAGCCGCCAAGTTACTGCAGTCTTTCTGGTTGATAATTTATAAGCGGCTGTATTCATATCATATTTACTGTCACATCAGGAATGTGGTGTTCGACCGTCAGTGGAGGTGTAGGTGTGATGGTCCGATGCGCGAGGTGTCCCCCAAGGAGATTCTCAGAGACTTTCCATCGGAGGATAAGGAGAACTGATTAGTGTGATTCTAGAATTTCAGGATGCCGACTTGAAAGCCCTCTGCCCTCATAACTTTTTATAGCCAATGCAGTGAAGGTAAACCAAATTGGGGAGCGAAAATCATGAAACCCGAGTTTCCAGTTTTCTTGGAAGGGCTAGAACTTGATATTGCTTATCACAGGACTGTGATAAGCAGACCAGAAATTTCCTGAAGAACTTCGGCGAAAGTCACGAATTCATGGTTTCCGCTCTCCAATTCGGTTTATCCTTACGGAGCGACACGATACAAAGACGATTGAGGCATGAATAAAACATAATCGCGAGATATCAAGCTCCAGCACAGCTCTTCTGTGCATTTCAAGGAGCCAAACCCCGCTAAACATCTTTCGATGTCAGTGATTGAAGTCATACGTCATACTATCCCACGCGTTGGGAATAACCGCACTACGTTGTTTCGCCAAAGCCGACCAGATGGCTCATATCAGACTATGAAGTATCCTCATGCAGTGATTCCTTTTGTTCGTATATCCCATCAATCATGATTCATAAGTTACTATGATATAGATTGCTGGTTGCCATAACTGATGGATACCTGAACTCTATGCTGATGTTCTGTTGTGTCTAGGTCGTGGAGTCGTCAGCCATAAAAACAGGTGTGGGATTCAGACGCTCGTCAGATGACCGCGAAGCGACAGACTGATGCCGCGGTCCTTGCTAAACCCTTGCATGCTTCAGAGGCAGCCTCTGTTCGACGTTACCTGTGTGCTGCCCTGTGCGCCGCGCTCCCTCATGCGTACACACACACAAGCACCGTCGTGTGTTTCGTTCCAGCAACTTGTATCGATGGGCTGTGTCACCGACTTCCAGGATACACCGATTAAATTCGTCCAAAGCAAACTTAATTTGTCGGCTTACACACAGTTTGTTACGGCCTTACTTGGAGACTCTTAGTCTGACCGACGGTCATTGATCGTGCTCGGGAAGGGAACCACTGCTCCGAGCACGTGAAAGAATATCCTTAACCAGTTGAGGCAAACTAACTCAGAACCCAAGCATTGATCATGTGACTTGTAACAAGTCACTTGCATGACCGATTCTATTATTCTGCGCGCTGAACTTTCACTTATAGTTTCTGAGTTAGAAACCTAAAGTTAGTTGACTCCGACGTTCGAGTGAACATATTGAAAAGTTTGAAGTACGGGTGTGTACACGTGCGACAAAAGATCTCCGTGAAAGATTTTCATCATATATCATCGCGATGATCCTGACTTCTCGCTGCAGAGTAAAAAATCAGTGAATCAGGGGTTAATACTCACCATCTGATTTCTTCATCTGAGTTGATATATTGACTCACCTGTTGCATCAGGATTCGTATACGGCCCCAGGAGATATGCATGAAATTTGAGCGAGTCGCTGGAAATTCACGCTATCTGAAATCAATCTTGTTGAGCGTGGCTTTGTGATATGGTTGTAGCATTTGTTACAATTGTTCCGAAAGGCCTGAACAGAGACAGTAATGAGATGATTTGTTGTATGTCTACATATAGTTCACAGTTAATAGTTCTTGTGTGAAGCTTACTCGCGATGAGATACATCTCTATCTTCTTCCCTATTGTAGTACTAGTCGAAGCTGAGATTATCCCTGGATACCCCATTCGAGGCGCAGCGTTGCATATTCTGGCTGGCCCTTCTAACTTCTCCTATCCTCCGAACTGCTCGAAGACTGCTAAGCCGAAGGATGTGCCATACTGTGCTACCGGAGAGCTCGACGTCGGAGTGAAATCAGCTATCAATTTCAACACTTACCTGTTTGATGTTAAGGACCCCACCGAGACTGTGCTGTTCGGGCTCAATGTCACTATTGATAAGGGCATCCCGGAATCCTTCGAAGTTCTAACTGGTGGCCACGCCGCTCCCGGCCTGGTCGATTTGTTACCAAAACTCATGCCACGTGTCGTGGAAATAGCCCCTATAACCTACACAAGTGGAGGTGGTGCGGGGAAGTACGATCCAGAGACCAAGAGCTATTCAGCTGAGTTCAACATCTCCTTCCGGGCTGGAGTTTATATTTTCGGACAGAAGGTCGTCGTGGGGCAACCTCTCAACGGTGTTGGTAAAGCCTGGGCTAAGCCTCATAACGACATTGGACTCACCGGAATTGTGACCAACTCTGCTGGAGACTCGGAGCCCAAACTGATTTTCAATCTCACCAATTCGATCACTACGGTGAACGGCTCCATTTTAACGTGGCACGTATATAGCGGAATGAGTATGAAGATGAACACGTCCGGGCGTGGCCAGGACTATACCGACAAAACTTTCGTGAATAAGATCATTCAACTAACACCTCCAAAATAGCGGTTCGCTCAGCGAACTTCGCTGTAGGACAAGAGGTATATTTTTTCAAACTATTGTCTCGTCAACGTTCAGTGTCTTCTTGGCAAATCTTCTCCAGTAATCGTCATTCGTCCCAGGCGTCATGGTCTGTATGGAGTGAGTTCGATAGCGGGATGAACTATTCCAGCCGAAGAACTCCTTACTAAGGATAGACTGTTTGAGCAGCCTTCTATCTGAGTTGCTCAAGATACTGGGGCTTAGCTGGGAGTCTTTGAGATTTTACGACTATCCATTAGAGGCGAGTGTTGCGTTGTCGAGTTTGACTTCTCCCTGGGGTAGGCTGCCCAGAGCGGAATACATCACAGTGAATTACCGTGGATATGTTCTGATACTTGCAAATTTTTTCCCTGGTCCAGGGGAGAAACATCATATCCAGAAGTGATTTAGGGCCCCTAGATACGGATGTGGTCGAAAAAATGCCAGGAGTGCGAACAACTCGTGGATGCGCGAAGAATAATCAGAACTTGCTGGAAATTTTGCACCCACCTGAGCATGTCGACTCTCAGACTGGCCCAAGCGGACCAATAAATAGCGAAAACTTTCATAGTCTGTGAATCATGGAGATATTGGGGTAGTGATAATGTGTGTACACCTGTGTTGTAGGCACAACACAACAGGCCTGTTGGATGTAACGGTCCTGGCTCGGAATTAGTTGGGTATCCAGTGGTCATTGAAGTGCGAAGCCGATTAACATTGCAGAACGCAAGGCAGAAATTTCCAGAGAACTCCAACAAAGCACGGTAAAGACAAGCTCTCATCATTCCTTGGCTCTACTCGAGTCCCCACTCGTGCTCACGATATATTGTTAGACCAAATGCCATCATACAAAAAAGACCAATAATATCAATATGGTAGTGCTACATATGTAAGCGTCACTCGGCACAGCCTACGCATTTTGCGGGCTCTCGAGGGCCCAGAGCGTATACCAGAAGCAACAGTCTCGAGCGCTCAACCCCCTTCTAACCACCGCATTAATTCACCGAGCTCCAGGAACATCCCTCGACGCATCCTTGAAAATCGTGATGGTGGCGCGATTAGGCCTCATTCGGTGGAATCAACTCCTCAATTGGAAGCTTCACATTGGATGATAATACCCACTATGGTCTATTGTTTGGTTGACGAGTTCAGAGCCCTCGGACCGGGGGAGTTTGGGCAGTTGTAGAGTTAACTACGTTGAATCAGTGAAAATGTATGCTGAGGCAGCTTACCGGGCCATCGTTTCAATTTATGAGTCATACTTATCCAGTGTGACTCTTGGCTTTGATGATACTCCATGATATTGAGCGTTCAATCATGTCTTACCAGGTGATAACGGAATCTATATGGCAGCCTATTCCGGATGGTTGATGGCACTTGCTGCACTTTGTATTGAATAACCAACTCCCCGAGAACTCACTCATTTCTGTGATTGCTGGAGGTATTTGTTCAACTCCGCATCACCCTTATTAGTCGGTGAGTAACTATTGTCGTCCTTAGCAGCTTTCAGCCCTCCAAAAGGTTCATGGGTATGATATTTCTCGGGTGGAGAGGCGCTGCCGATGTGAAACTCGAACGTCATCCTGAACAGCAATGCTTCCATATTCATGTACTCATATTTAATGTGCTACTTTGTTCTTTTCTCTTGGGTTGACAGTTGGCGGGAGGAGGTCCTGAGCGCGTAAGGTAGCAGCTTGATTTATACGTTAATTGTTGTTTCAGGCTGGGACAACCAGGATCTACCGACAAACCTACCTGCATTCGACCTCTGGTTGGCCCTTTTCTGTGCTGTCACCTAGTGTTGCTCTTCCTTCTTCATATTTATCCCTGTTGTAACTGAGATGTCACCTCGGAGCTTCCTGATACGATAGGGGTGTCCATGACGCCGCGTTATTAACGCGTACCTTCTATCACATCGTTGACATCTTACACCTGACGCGAATAATGTTCCGCTTTTACGCGAAGCATGGGCTTATCTCGTATAGAAGCACGTCAACAAAGCTCGATTGGATGCTGTCACTCTGTGTCTGCGTATGATACTAGACCACGGATGAGCTTACTCTCAGATCCCCGGCTTAGTCATCGATACTATTACAGGCTAACTCGCTGAACCGTTGACGCTCGAATGGACTCTAAAAACGGCCATCGCCTCGTGGTATGGTGCCGCTTTCTGATGTGTTATTGTAGCCTCTAATTTAGTGACCTTACCGGTGAAACGCGAAGCTATATATCTCTGGGAATGTCCTTCGCTATGTAGCGAAGGCGTCGATGTTGGTAGTTGGTAAGGAGTTGTACAGTAGGTGTGGGTGTCTGTCTAATTCGTGAGTTGTCCCTAAGAGAAATGCCCAAAGACTCCTCATCAAAGTGCAGTGTAGGACCGGACCCATACTAGGGACGGCCATGTGTCGTTTTCCCACTCCAAGGACTTCCCTAAGGGTCTTGTGTTCTTCACGCGCGTAATATGGCGACGCCGGTCGTGACACGTGCACGATCCAACATTTTTCTGTGTAGCCTCTCATTCCCCATCTTCTAATGCCCAACTCACACAACCTATTTGAGACCCCATCTTCAAAGGGCGGGGGGGGGTTGAGTTTCCACCAGTTATTCCGGGGTTTGAAGCAGCCGACGCTACAAATGGATGAGGAAACTCGATTCGTATGATTCTAGAACTTGTATCCGCATGTCATCCTAGGTGCTATCCCACGCGAGAATATTCAGTAACGATGTATCACACTATGTCGATGGAGAGTGTTTGTGTAGCATATTACTTGAGAGGACACCCATCAGCGTAGAGATCTATGTGTATACGGATAATCAGCCGATTTCCACGGCTCATTTAAATTTAGCTTTTTCATTTGCAGCCCTATTCAATAGGCAGGTCGCACCTGCGCGATTGCGTGGAAGGTTTGGGCGCGCTCTTTCAGGGCCCCCACCCCTGGCGCGCGCTGATGCCATCATGGCACATGTTGACGGTGTAATACAATCCGGCAATCGCAACTTTTTGCTAATATTGCGGATTTGCCAAATGCTATAATTTCTGACAGTCTCACTTTTTTGCTCTTTTGTATGTGCTGCTTTCTCAGTTATAAAGTAGCAACCACATTTACACCCTAGCAATTTCTGGTATAGGTTTTAGCAACCAAATGTTGAAAGTAGCAAATTCAAAAGTGTTTTCTAGCAAGTCGCTCTTTTTTGCTCTTTTTTTGCTGCATTGTATATTTCCCCGGAATGTTTTACACGCTGGCACTTTTGCCCAAGTGTGCTTCGCTCGCACGTTTTCGTTATTCTGGCAAGTTGTGCTCATTTGCTGTTTGATATGTTTTGCGTTGTAACTATATAGTCTGGCATTTTCCAAGGTTTGCCCTTGTGTGATGTTCCTGCACGAAATATACAAATTGGCAGTTGCCGGTATGTGACAACGCTGCGCTACTTTTATGTTTTGGCTATTTGCTCTCTTGTAACTTACGCCCTGCGGGAATATATACTAGCGTTTTGCTCACTCGCTCAAACTGCGTCTCTGTTAGCGTTATTAGCAAACTTGTCATTTTGCATTATTCGTACGAGCAATATACAATCGAGCAAACATAGTTATGGGATAGCGTTTCTCGTTCGATTACGATATTACGCCTTATATCTTATGCTCCAGAACATGTTCATGCCCTGTGCACTTACTAAGTATCTTATCTATCAAAGGTGTCACACTTTGTGTCTCACTGCAAGGGAGTCACTCAGTATCGGGTCAAAGCATGATAGCACTCTAGTGAGATATATCATTCACTCCGAAGACAGCGCGAGTTATGATCAGTGCTGAATACCAAACACATGATTGCTCTTGCACATCGCGATTGAATCAGATGAGATAACAGTTAAATTGAGTCCCATCTTCGAGTATCCTCTCTCTTTTTGCATCGTATCAGTTGTGTCTCATGGTTTGGTACGATTGTACGTATTGACGAGTCAACAATAGCCAGAAGTTAAACCCTCAAGTAGGCATTAGGTAAGTATTACGGGCAACTTTGACATTCTGCACGAGAAACATTTGCTCATGGGCAGTGGCACTCATCGGAGCGTCTTCGTGGAACTATTGTTATGGACTTTGCAGAGATGTCGAAGGATTGTACAGGGGAAATGCAACACGGACTAAATTACTGATTATGAACTCTACAGCCCCCCGCACACAATATTCACTCCCGGGCACCACTAGAGGGCCTTCATAGAGATACTATTAAGGGTTACAAGAGAAGCATATTGAGAAACGTCCAAATTTTTCTCTACCAATCACCGAGACAGCTACTTGTAGCTACTACAACAGCTGAGCACCACTGAGGTGCCTACCTTACTGCGAGTGCGTGCATGGTCGCTAGTCTCCAGTGATGGGAGAAACTACTTCGATTCCTCACGCTCGTCCTCTTTCGACCGCTTCTGCTGCAATTCTTCTGCCGCGTGGCTCTCATACTCCTCCACCAATAAAATAGCATTGTTGTTAGGCGAGTACTTTCGCACTATCTCCTCACATCTGGTACCTCGGAAGAACTTGTTCAGCGCCGGGTAGATGCGAAGTGCTAACTTAGCACTGCTAAGCCAGCCTGCCTCTTTCCTCGATAACTTCGATGTTCGCGAGGGGCATCTTTCTCCAGTGACCAGTATTTGCTCAGACTACCGAAGAGCATATCGGTTCGCATGCAATAGGCCACGTAGGGATCAGGATGCGTGTATGAAAGCCACGACACCTCGCATGGGCACCACTGGGGTGCCTGCAATACAGCACTGCACTGCAGATGAGTGATCCATGTTGATCCAAATAAGTGATCTCGGATCACTCAGTACGAGTAATTCCGCCCACTTACAATAATCCATCCATCATTCTCCCTGTGATGCAACTATACTTATCTATATCGACAGAACCACAGAACTTTGCAAAAGAGTCACCACTCAGGGACTTCGAAACTATAATGCAATTCTCAACACAATCACCAACAACCCATCAAGGTTCGACTCTCGCGTGCAAATTTCAATTTCTTCTTTCGATTGTAGAACAGCAAAAATTTGCTCCATTGCGGGGTTGCCCATTCGTAAAGCTGCAAATTGCTCCTCTGAAAAGTAGCAATTTGCTCAATAGTAGAAGGAGCAATTTATTGGTTTGCCCCTTCTTTGAGCAAAATTGCTCAATTTTGTTACATAGTAGCACTTCACATAGCGGCAACTTTTATATATTCTAGCAATTTTCTGAAATATAAACAAGCAAACGATATTCATTCGAGCAGTTTCTGTTATACAAAGCGGCAAATTTGCGTATTTGTAAAGTGAATTTTGCTACTTTGCTCTTCTGTATATCAGCCATAGCGTTCTTACACACTAGCACAACAGCAGAAGCCGCAGGGAATATACATTCCAGCTAATTAGCACTTTTTTGCTATTTGCTCCTTTGCTATTTTGTAACTGGGCCCATGTTGAGGCTTTGGGCAAAGCAGGTGCCCAACACTAAGAAATCCTAGTGTATTCTTCTACGACGAAATCGGATCGGTTGCCGGCCATAGGGAACGCAAGGGTAGCCGATGGATCGTATTCAAACTGTCTTGAGTATCAATAAGCCTAGACTACAGAAATGAAATCATAAGACCGATAGTCTCGTTCACTTGACTCCAATGAGCGCCTTGCACGCATGCTCACTTTCCTAATTGGAACAAAGTGACGCACAATGCGTCGCGCAAATCTGCGTGTCTAGGAATAGACAGTCAGGGAAAGCCAGGAGCCCTCATCATCGACTCCAACAACAGTACAAGGAGCAATATCACCGTGTTCATTCAAGTTTTCTGCGTCCATAGTAGTAGTAGTTGTATGGGGCACGGCAAATGGCTTACAGTAGCCCTTTCGAGAGAGCTCTATTGAAGCACTGTGTCGATTTTCTGATGTGCGTCGGTATGGGTTTAGGTGCTCCGCGTGCTCCTTATTGGGGTCCACGAGGTGCACCTTAAATTTAGGAGCATAAGGAGCATGAGGTGGAACTGTAGTGAAAGCGCCTCGCGTAAGGTGTAAGGCGCCTTGCTCGTAAATTCAAGGTGCACCTTAAGGAGCGTTTCTAGGCTCCTGCTCTGTGTGCTGCGCTTCCGCATGTGTACGCACACACAAGCAACGTTGTGTGTTAACATACACATTAAGCAGGTGCCCGTCGGCTCATCAACTTGTATCGATGGGTTGTGCAGACGACGTCAAGGAATGCTCGACAAGGATACCTCGTTCAGTTCGTCCAAATAAACTTCATTCGTATTTGACGATCATTCGCAACTGCGTGAAAGTTGCGAAGTCTGAATAAAACGTGAGGAGGATTAGCTTAGCACGCATTGACCAGGCTGTTTGAGGTACTCATCTCCTGGGTGATCTAATTGGAGAAAAACCACCGCGGACGTACCTTTCATGGACCGAAAACGAAATTTCAACTTCTCATGACATTCGGGCGAGTCGCTGAAATCCCACTATATTTCAAATTAATCTTGTTGAGCCGTGGCTTTGTGGTATGATTGAAGCCTTTGTTGCAATTGTTCCGAGAGGCCCTAAACGACCTTCTGCACCAACACGGGGATAAGATGATTTGTTGTATGTCTACATATCGTTCACAGCTAATAGTTCTTGTTCGGAGCTCACTCGCGATGAAATACATCTCTATCTTCTTCCCTATTGTAGTACTAGTCGAAGCCGAGATTATTCCTGGATCCCCCATCCGAGGCGCAGCGTTGCATGGTCTGGCTGGCCCTTCTAACTTCTCCTATCCTCTGAACTGCTCGAAGGATGTTAAGCCGAAGGATGTGCCATACTGTGCTACCGGAGAGCTCGACGTCGGAGTGAAATCAGCTATCAATTTCGACACTTACCTGTTTGATGTTAAGGACCCCACCGAGACTGTGCTGTTCGGGCTCAATGTCACTATTGATAAGGGCATCCCGGAATCCTTCGAAGTTCTAACTGGTGGCCACGCCGCTCCCGGCCTGGTCGATTTGTTACCAACAGTCGTACCAGGTCTCCTGAGGATAGCCCCTATAATATACACAAGTGGAGGTGGTGCGGGGAAGTACGATCCAGAGACCAAGAGCTATTCAGCTAAGTTCGACATCTCTTTCCGGGCTGGAGTGTATATTTTTGGAAAGAAGTTAGTCGTGGGGCAACCTATCTACGGTGTTGGTAACGCCTGGGCTAAACCTCATAACGACATCGGCCTCAGCGCAATTGTGACCAACTCTGTGAACTCGTATGACGAACTAAGCTTCAATCTCACCAATTCGATCACTACCGTGAACGGCTCCATTTTAACGTGGCACATCTATAGCGGGATGAGTGTCTTTGTGAACACGTCTTGGACTGGCCCGTATTATGCTAATCAAACTTTCGTGAATAAGACGATTCAACTAGCATCTCCAAAATAGTGTTTCGCTGTGCGACGGAAAGCGGGGGTTTTCCGAACCATCATCTAGTCAATCCTTGGGGTCTTTTGGACGATTGTCTCTAGCATTTAATCAGTAATCGTCTTTCATCATTCGTCCCGTACATCACGGTCTGTATGGAGCAAGTTCGATAGCGGGATGAACTACTAGAATCTGAGAACTTATTGAGAAGAGTCTGCTTGGGCATCCTTCCTTTGCGATATCTGAATTGCTCAAGATTCTGAGGCTCTGCTGAAAGGTTTCGAGAATTTAGTCAAGATGATTGTTGCGTTGTCGAGTTTGATTTCTACATGAGGTAGGCTGCTTAGAGTGGAGTGCGTTACGGTAAATGACCAAGGATATACGCTGATACTAAACCTCAATAACTAAATATTTAGTAACTGAATATTATTCAGTGAATGGGATGCTCGCTGATTCGGACTCTCCACTCGATGTCTACTGTTAACGGATTCTTGTTGTCGTGGCATACATTCAATGGGACTAGCCACGCTATGCGCAGGTATCACTAATAGTGATTCACTATGACCATGACTCGCCCGCGAAGCTAGTTACTCTATATTTTAGGCTATATATTTTGTTTTGGTGTTGTTGATTGTGGTTTTAATTGTGGTGGTTGTAATGGAATACACTTTACTAGTCACCCAGCATCTGCTGGTGAGCGTGACTGCTCAATCTGCCCACCTCCAGCCACCTGGTGGTTTCTGATTGTATGCCTGATCTTTGACGTGCAATCCTTAGCTGTGTGAGTATGGGAGTCCGATGGCCGCAGATGAAGTCGGAAGGGTGGGACGAGTTGCGTTGATGAGTTTTGTGGCCGGTATCTACGATCGAGCCCGTGATACCATGGAAAGTGCAGGAGTTCATCAGCGAGCTTTAGACGAGTCACTATTCTAGGCTACTGGATACGGATGTGGTTGAAGAAATACCAAGAATGTAAACAGCTCCTGGATGTTGGAGAAATGATCAAAACTTTATCAAAGTTTCGGAAAGACATGAGCAGATTACCCCGAGCAGGCCAATGAGCAAGTTGCTCAGAGCAACGATGACATTTATAGTCTATGAATCATAGATATAGTGAGTTCTTCAGTCCGTCAAAAATGTATGAGTCCTAGCTCGGAATTAGTGTGGTATTCAGTGGTTATTGATGTGCGAAGCCGACTAACACTGCAAAACGCGAGGCTGAAATTCTCAGAGAACTCCACCACAGCACGGTAAAGGCATGCTCTCGTTCTTGCTCAACTACTCGAGTCTCCGCTCATGCTCACGATATGTCAGCTACGAGTGAGCATCATAATAGCGACCAAATATTGTCATAGAAAAAGACCAATAATATCAAAATGGAAGTGCTGCATGTGTAGTCGTTCACTCTCGCACAGCCTATGCGTCTTGCGAGGGCCCAAGGCGCATACCAGAAGCAACAGTATCCGGGCGTTCCGCCCATTGCTCTGGATTCGCCCGGCTCGTACCTGGAATCATACATCAAGACACATCAATGGACAACACTGGCAACCATTATTTCCTGTATCCTGAGTAATCATATGTTCTCTGAGATCGATCATTGGACTACTGATATTCCTGGGTTCAGTCGGAAGATGTGCAGCGGAGCTATTGCTCGTGGTACTGCCTAATCAGTGAGTAATAACCTGTGAAAGATGTGTCTCATGTACTGTAGCTTGCTTGATGGCGTGTCGGGCTGTCCTGTATAGAACTGAGTACACCGTTCAACCAGGGGTCAACACTGAGCTGGTTAGCATCCATGCGTTCGTCCTGGAGGCGATATTGACATGTCTTAATCTCACGAAAACCGCAAGAGCGCGATCAGATCGATTGGTCACTACAACATGTTGACATTGGAAAAGTATGTTGCTTACCGCATCAGCCTTGAGTAATCGTTTGATTACCAATCTCGCATGTGGTGATAGGATAGGACTGGCTGGGTCCGGGAGGTAAAAACGAGCCTTTTGAATTTTGACGTAGAGCTCCTTCTGCGACTTGGCCCGGAATGGGAAGCTTCCCAAGAGCATCAGATACATGATCACCTACGGAACGTCCGACCATATCATGATAATACGATAATCGAACATCCTAATCGATTCAGGAAATACTTAGAGGATAATGTCAGGGATCAGTCGAGGCTTACCCCAATAGCCCACATGTCGGCCTTGAAACCATTGTATTCACCTCCCCTAACGAGCTGCGGACACATGTACGACGGTGTTCCACAAAATATCTTCACGTTCTGGCCCTCCGGAACAGATGTGGAGAATCTGATTGTCAACTAGAAGACCTAAATCGAGCAGCTCGGACACTAAGACCCGAAGTCAATAATTTTAATCCGGTCCCTTCCTTCCAGCAGTATATTCTCTAGCTTTAGATCTCTGTGGACTATCCTCTTGCTGTGGCAATACTTTATGCCTTCACATATCTGGGCCATGAACCTTGCCGGGAGGACGCAATGCATGTCCAACTGCATAGCTTCGACGTTCCAGGTGTCAATGAATTCCATGCTACATCAGCGCTTATCTCATCTTAGTATGAATAGCTCGAGCGCTCTCAGTGGTGCAATAGTAGTGGTCAAAAAGAGCTATCCCAGCCGACTTTTTCGCAGTTGCGTCGTCCACTTTGCTGCCTGGAAGCTTTCCGATGAACTCATTCAAGCAGCCCCCGGCGATGTGCTCAAGGACGAGATAACTGCAACGCACTACTTCACACCGTTGCGTTGATTCAGTGCGATGTACATCTTTTTAGGGGTGTCAAATGTCTCTATGAACTGTACGATGTTCGGATGAGACATCTTCCTCATCACGTGTATTTCTCGCATCACGTTCCTGCGTCTCGTCGTCGAGCCCACGAGACTTATTTTCTCATATCTGCCTCTCGTACGTGCTCATTGGAGCAACAACGCGCTGCCTACATCTTCACTGCGACCTTGCAGGCGCGGTTCGCTTTGTTCCAACCCAGTCGTACAGTAGCATATGCACCGTTACCGAGCTTCTCGCCTAAGAGATACCTGACCAGAACAACCATCGTTGGAATATATGTTCACTCTTCTCAGCTGAGCTCTGGGACTTTCACGCGAACTATAGAAGTTATACACAAGCTCGCTAGAAGCATACAGAGACCAACCACTGGTTGGTACCAC